ATAAAGTAAAGATTTGGGCTTTTTCTTTTCTGACTGAACATCCTCGTCGGACTATAGCAGGAATTACGACATTTTCTAAACACTTCTATGCCAAGGGACTTCACGAATGGTTTTGTCTCAAAGGCATACTATACAATTTGCTTGTAAATGCACAAAAGATGTTAAGCTTATACATACTTAATCAAGAAAACTGCTGCGGGCTGCGTGCCTTTGATTTCTTTTCAAATTTGAAAGGAAACCTTGTAGAATGCTATGTTCGCTTTTATTTCGCTTTGAGTTCGCTAATAATCAGTGCTAAAATCACCATATGTCCGACTATTCCACTGTTTCAGAATTCTCATTTTCAATAACAATGACTTGCGATAATGTTCGGTGTATGGGTGGCACCAGCTGTAAACTGATTGAAGGAAAACCAAAATGTGTACCAGAGCTGATTCGTCGCAGTCAAGGTACATGTATAAGAAAATTGACGCACCATTTTTTTATCCAATTTTTCTAGAAGATTCCAACCCATGCGCAAGTAAATCTTGCCCTTTCGGCACGGAATGCAAGCTCGAGCAGGTTCAATGCATAAGGGCACCTTGGTGGGAAAATTGCTATAATTGCTTTTGACTTTGAATAAAATTCAATATTCAGCCCCCCGATCGCAGTGTGCGGCGCCCCATCCGGGTATAATAAATGTGGTGTGAATGAGACGTTCAGAGAATGTGCTACCAAATGCGAGCCTACCTGTAGTAACAAATCACCGGTAAGTTTCTTATCAAATTTGTAAAACTGTGGAAAATCTTGCTGACTGTGAGACCCAAATATTTTAAGTTTGTCTTAACAAGATTAAACATCATTTCAGATTTGCATCGAGATGTGTGCACCGGGAAAATGCCAATGCAAGCCAGGATTCTACCGTAACACCACCGGTCAATGTGTGGCTGCGGCTGATTGCGGTAGTTGAACAAGCAATCACTTGCATTATTATATCCTTGAACGCTCTTGGGTTCACTTTATCGCACTTAGCTATTTTTGTATTTCTTTATTATTCTTCACTTATTTCTCTGTTTCAAGAGATTTAACTATGCACATATGCTAGAAATTGTACACTCTTAGGTCATCACTCAACGGGATAGATTCAGCTTCACGGTAATTTGCAGCGAATCTTGATTTATCGTACACTGCACATTTCTATGTTTGTTCGAATGCATCAAAAAAGATTTCTGTATAATGCACGGAACTTACGAATGGAGACAGTGAAAAAAAGGTTAGTCATACCGCATGTTGCTTTCTAACTCGGAGAAAGAAATTATAAACATGGTCAA